GGTGCATAAGTTTCTTCAAAATCAATGCCTTCTTCTTGATTGTAGCCTTTAGCTACGAGCCTAGCTTTGTTTCTAGTGATTATTCCATTTTCATCGAGTTTGTTACGGAACACCCATTTCGTACCAATTATGGTATGATCATCGGGTCTTGGCACCAATTCCCAAACGTCATTTCGTTTGAATTGGTTAAGCTCCTCTTGCATTGCCAAGGTCCAATGTTCATCATCAATTGCTTCCGAAATGGTTGTAGGTTCAATTTGAGAAACAAAAGCCATGTGACCTACGGTGTCCCTGAGAGAGCTACGAGTACTTACCTTTCGGTTGATGTCACCGATCACCTTGTCAAGAGGATGGTTCTTTGAAGTCCTCCATGCCCTTGGCATTGGCGTTTCCTCCTCTTGTGGTTGTTCCTCGTTTACGGGTGGCTCTACTTCTTCATCTTGGCTTTCCTTTGAGTTGTCTACTTTGTCATCGTCGTAGATATTTTCCAACGAATCTATAAGATCATCACAAGAAACCTTTCTCGCCAAGCGAGCATCATTTTCGGCGAAGACAACATGAGGAGATTCCTCAACGGTTAAGGTGCGTTTGTTGAAGACTCTATAAGTGTAACGCCCCGAAATCTGGCCCAAAAGAATTAACTAAATTGTTAGAGCAATTGATTACGGATTGGGCCTAAAAAGGGGTTAAAATTATAATTTGGATTCTAAGCCCAACTTTTATGTCATCTCGTAGGAAATATTTTTGTGATCGCGTCGGTTCAGACGGCTCGCGAATCGGAGTTATGGAGCTCATGTTATGACCATTTAATCAGGTATTTTGAGCCCGGAGCCCAAACCACTAGTATTGGAATTAATAGATAAAACCTAAACTAATTTCGGCCATAGGATCGTTATCTTCTTCTTCTTCTTTCTTTCTTCTTCTTCTTCTTCTTCTTCTTCTTCTTCTTCTTCTTCTTCTTCTTTCTTCTTCGTCTTCAACAGCCGCGCTCATCGCCGACCGCCCTTCCCCAGCCATCGCCGCAGCTTTTCCTTCGCCGGTCGTCCGTCGCTCACAGCCAGGTCCAGCGCCGCCGACCAGGGTTCCCAATCTTCGAGCCGCGGTCGTCGCCTCCACTGCCAGCGTCGGTCGTCCTCGCCATCGAGCTGCAACGCCGCTGCTTCTCCTTCGCCGGAAGTCCGCCATCATTGCCGTCAAGTGCAGCGCCGCTGTTTCACCTTCGCCGGAAGTCCGCCGTCATCGCCGTCGGGTGCAGCGCCGCCACGCCGAGCGCTGGACGTCGCCTCCACTGCCGGCGTCCTTACTCGCCGTCGAATTGCAGCGCCGCCAGTCGCTGCTCATCGCCGTCGAGCTGCCGCTCCGCCACTGTCGCCGGCGTCCGTCACCGTTGCCGCATCCAGCCGCTGCCCCGAGTTGATATCGCCGGCAGATTAACCTCCACGCCGAATTGATTGGTCGATTTCGTATTTTGACTCGATTTGACCCGTTCGTTTGATTTCGTTGATTTGTCTTCCGTTCGAGCGATCGATTCGATTTCGGCGTAATCCAGGTCCGTACTATGAAGTTAATAGCGTTTAGAATAGATTTAATGGTTTGGATCGTTATATATGTTTATGCTATAATTTGGCTAAATTGGTTAATTGAATTAAATTGATTATTTGAATTGAATTGTTGAGGATTGTGAATTGACTGAACAGGTTTGACTTTTACTTGGGTTAGGTCATGTTTGACTTAGGCTTTGACTGGATATTCTGTCGACGTAGGTTTGACCGAATGGTTAAA